CAATGTCCTCCACAATTACTGCAGAGCGGGAAGTAAAATGATGAATACTTGTGCATATGTGTGGAGGGGGGAAGCTGGAGGAGAGAAAATGCAGGTTACAGATAGGCTTCCTTGTACAGAACATTTTTAAGTACCATTCTGAAGAAATCTGTATTTTTAAAACATGACACTTATGTGGCAGATAAAAAAAGAAACAGCTGCATTAAGCAGCTTCAAGAGTCAGATTTAAAAAAAAGGAAAGTCACCTCCTCTGTCCTTACTCTTCCTTGCACAGAGAAAGAAGACAGATATACAGAGCTACTCAATGGTCAAATCAATTTCTTCTAATTTAAGCTCATGTAATTTCTGAGATCTTCTCTAGGGCCTATTTAAGGATATATCTTTCATCACTGCTACTTTCACACACCTTAGTGAACACAATTAATGCTGTATTAGCTGTGACAGTTTATCTGGGGTCAGTGAAGGAAAAACATCCAAAGAAAAGTGTGGGCAGAATACAGCTGCCTCTTGGATAGTCCTGTAGTCTTTCCCTAGTTTTGCTGCATTTAATATTATTACTTAATTTTACTTCAAAATACATGACAAGAACAAATGTTTCCCATTACAAAAATGTATATGGACACAAACAATTTCAATTCACCTAGCAGACTATTATTAGCTGTTTTTAGCCTGAAGCAGATACTAATCACAGTAGTGGAGGGGCTTTTATTTTCAACGTGATGGCTTTGGAATAGAGAACTTCCCTCTAAACAGCAAGTGTGAGCTGCCTCTCCCAGACCTCTGCTGTGCTCTTGGCAGAGGTGCTCCATCTTCTCCCTCTGAACCACATTTCTCAGATCACCACACTATTTCAGAGTCTCCCCTGTAAGCGCAGTGCGAGTGACCCCTACTGTGGCTCTGCTTTCAGAGTGCTCCTCCACCACGCTAGGCAATTCTCAATGGCATCTCAATGAAGCTAATTAAATTGTGCTGCACACCTAGGGCACACAGCTGTTACTCAAACAGTATACAGAAGAAGAAGTAGTACATCATGGTAACGCTTACAAGCAAACAATGGAGTGTGAAGCTTCTAGACTGAATGTTTGTGCTCCATAAGCTGCACCTGGGCAAGGGACCACTAGTGCAGGTCACAGATCTGCTCGGTTTGATGGAGAAGGGTCAGTTAACCTGTTCAGGACCTTTACGTTTTCACTCTGCCATCATGCAACAGTAGCGTACTACAGAACACATTATTTGAGAAATGCTTTAGGGAGTTTTAGTAAAGCTTAGTGCATAACTCTGGCGGCATATGATGAAACAAAAATATCCTTAAAACGTTGAAACTGACATTAAAAAGAGGTGATTTTCAATCCAACATTTTATTTCCCACAAGCTGCAAATCACTCAGTACAACAACCTCCTGCCCCAGGTCTCGCTACACCATACTGTATCAAAGCCTAAGCATGGCACTGCCCAATACTAAATGATGCCTGCTCTGAACCTCAGGCCAAGATAATTTTTCAGCAGTGAATTTCTCCTGTTGTAGTCTGGTTTCACATAATACAATTCCCTTTTCCAGGTAGGAACATTGATACACAGCATCTTGAAGTGTATGCTTTCAATGGTATGATGTCCAGTATTGTTTCTTTTCCTATTTTTTATTCCACGCTTTTCTTATCTGACAGATTTGAAAAAGAATCGACCTCACAGCTTTCAGATGTTTGAGTATTTACACACTGTAAAATTAAAGCAATATCAAAACAGAGTTTCCAGTGGTGGAAGAAAGTTTAAAACTTAACCATGCTTTCAGGGATTGCACTTCCTCCATCTCAGAAGCAGTCCCAAGTACTGCAGGTGGTTGTAGTGTGAAGGAATATTCTTACATTGGAGCAGAATCACAATTCTGACAGCAAGGAAAAGAAATTAGAGGAGCTTATGCAAAACAAGGTGGAGAAAGAGACTTGCTTATGAAAAAAGTTTTTCACAGGATGTCTGAGAAGAGTGGTAAAAAGATCTTCCACCTGTCACAAGGCCAAAACAAAGGCTTCCAGAGGCTGTTAATGTTGGTAGGCTACAACAGCATTTGAGAAACTGCATACATTACAAAAAAGGCTTTCGCAGTGCACGTGATGACATAGGAAATCTGAGGAAAAAAAAAAAAAAGACCATACAATTAAAGAAAGATATTTTTTGTGGCCTAAAATTGCTAAGTGGTAATGTGACCTCTAAAAATAATGATATGAATAATGTAAGAACCCTGTTACAGCAGAAACAACATATTTTTCACGAGAGAAATACATACTTTTAACAAAAAAAAGGTAACGTCCCACATAAAGACATCAATTTCTTATAATTATTTAACTTCTAGCACTATTCTTTCCAGGCTAATGCAATCTCAAACTTTTTTTCCCTCTGAAATTGTATTTGTGGTATAAATCAATACAGTGAAGATCACAGGAATTTCTGAAAAAAAGTATGGCACACCTCTCCAATTTATCATCTTTCTGGGTGTGTCTTGGATTTATCTATTAAAATCGTTGCATCCCCTTTTTTGTGGAGTATTTACATCTTCATTCTTCTACCCAAAGAGTCAATAGGAAATTTAAAAACTCGGTTATATCTTGCAGTGCACAGCCACAGTCACTCTGTCTTTGTTGGTCCAGCAGCCTCCTCTACCCCTTTTCTCTACATTTCGGAGAAGCGACCAACTACTCCCGTTTTATGGAAGAATAATTTATGCAGGTCCAACCCTGACATCCAGTGGCCACTGCGGTTCATGGCATGCTCCCCGTGTCTCAGCCATTTGCAACTTGGCTTGAAGTGATAACGGCTTTAATCTCCAAATAGGTCATGATTTCCATAAGCATGCATCAGTTGTTTCAGACACTAATTATTTATCAACATGACTTCAGAGACCAAGACAAAGATAAAACATTCTGATAATTATACTTAATGGTACTCAGTACAAAAACCTTGAAATATCCTAAAATGCTAAATTATTCAGGAATCCTAGTCGTAGAAGCTTATTACCACTGAGTAACAATTCTCTCTATATAGAACTGTACCTGTGCACATATGTATACTTACATACATCCTCTCCATCTGCCCTGTCACACTGTATTCCTAAAGCTGAAGTGCTCAAGAGCCAGCACCCATTTTGCATGGGCCTAACAAGAAAAACAACGCCCAACAACAGATTTTATTTTTGTGTGGAACAAGAAACTATGATACAGTGAATATAAGTGAATATAATTCTTCAAAACTTGCAGCTGAAATTTTGTATTTTTGAAGTGAATCTTCAAGTTATGTGATTAGTTGTAAATATTTGTTACTTGCCTGTTAGCTGGTAATTTTACTATCCATGTTTTCTTCCTGGTATTGGTAAGCTTGTCTGGTACTCTCAGAGGAGTTTTTGATCAAAGACAATATGAAGTGAAGTTTTGGTACATATTTTCCCAGAGTTCTGTATGCCTGAATGCAATGTTTTAATCTGACCCACTCTCAAGCTTGCTGAAAGTTTCAGGTTTACACTTCCCTTTCAGGGTGTTTTATTGAAGTAGAACCCGTAACACTTATTTGGTTTAATGCAGTAATTACTTCTAGAAAATCCTGCAACAACTGCAAGAGTTGGATAAGCTTCTGGGCATCTTTTCTGTTCCGAAGACTGACTGAATATTTTAATCGATATATCTCCTGATTTAGATTTTTCTAAGATGGTAACTTCAAAACAGCTCTGAGATCAGCCCTACATGCCATTGTGTTGGCACTGGTAATCTATCAAAAGTTAGTGTCCCTCATACCATCCCACTCTTTATAAAGACACAATTTTAAAAGGAAATTAAACCTTTCCCATGTCTTCGTCTTCCTATATACCAGCACATACAGAAACTCCCGAGGAGTTGTGTGTGTTTATTTCTTCTTTCTTGGTCCCTCCGGAAGCAATAACAGAATGCAATTGCTGTATCCAGCTGTGTAAACTGCTTCCTGCTAAGTCTTGATCGTAATGACTCAACAGATCCTCATAGAAATAATAAAAAATTATAGTTGTCATTTAGTTCTTTGCACTAATGGGTAAGGACACTTCAGGACATTGTTTTGATGTTGCTTCTGTGGCCTTGGTTTTATAAGATGCTTGCTTTTAAATGAGGAGCTTAGAACCATCCAGGTTTTCACAAAACATTTCTGTGGACATCTTCTGACTACAGGGCATTTAGAAGGGCAGGAAGGAATACCTCAGTGTCCTATTGGACAATTTCTGGCAACATCTTTTCTAATTTAAAACAAGTAATGAAAACCACTAGTATATGAAAGCATTAATCATTTCATGCATTTTAAACTTAGTAGCATATAAACCCTTAAATAGAGTTTGAGAAGTCTACTTGTTTGGCAGATGGTATAATTAATCTCAAGCTCCACTTTGAGCAAAGACAGGCAATGCAATGGATAATTTCTGTGGCTTTTATAGCTGCTTGTGAGTTTAACATCCACATAAAAACTACCTGCACTGTCAAAAAGTATTTTTCAGCAGTAATACTTAATTTTGGCTTGAATCCCTGACCTTGCTCAGTTACAAAACCTGCCTGGAGCTCTGTGCCTTAGAAAGGAACAGGGCTGGGACCAACAGTACTCTTCCTCAGCAGCACGAAGCACAAGTACCTTTACAAAAACTACTTATTTTGGGAGGGCCTGCAAACGCTGTGCACTTCTTTAGCCTTTTTCTACATGGATTTGTACGAGAGCTACCACAGGCAGTGCTGCGTCGCCCTCTAACCAAGCGAAGGGCCAGCGAAAAGGAGCGTTGGGCTGCTGTTAGGCAGCTGCCGGCTGTTTCTCGGTGTCCGAAACGGAAGTGTGCAAAACCGCCCCCCACAGACAGACGGACGGACGGCCTGACGGCCTGACAGACGAAGTCAGCAAGCCACGGCGGGAAACAGCCCTCCCCGTCCCACGACAGTCGCGTCTGCGCATGTGCAGGAATGCGGGGGCGGGGCGGAGGGGGGGGGGGAGGAACGGGGAAGTACGTGCCGTTGTCACGGCAACAACCGCCGTTCCCTGAAGCCGCATCCCCCGGCGATAACGCCCTGGCGCCCGCCGCCGGTCACGCGGAAGTCGCGTGACGGGCGAACCCGACGGCGCGCGGGCCGCGTGCGAGGCGAGCACGCATGTGCCGGCCCCGCGCGCGAGAAAGAGACGGCGGCGCGCGCGGCGGGGCGCGCCTTCGGCGGCCGGGAGCGACGGGCGGAGGGAGCGGCGCGCGACGCCCGCGGGACGCCGCGCGAGGCCCAGGGGACGCCGCGGAGCCATGGCGGTGACTATCCTTGCGACTCTCTCCCGACTGCTTGCGTGATTTCCGCCCTTTCGTTCCGTCCTATCCCGTTTTTCACTTGTGATAATAAAATCTGTGTCGGGTGTACGGCATTTGACCTCGTTTGTCTCTTAATCTCGTTCTTGGGATCGTATCGAAACCTCCCCCCCCCCCCCCCCCCCCCGGACATGTGATCATTAGATCGGAACGTTTAGTTGGCGTCACGGAGAGGATCCCTCGAGACGAGAGTGCCGTGTTGTTGCCCAAATACGTGAGACCTCTCGGGAACGTAAGGGGTGCGGGCTTGTGTCATGTTTAAAGACTGACGTGCTGCCTTCCTGAGACGGCCGCTTCCCTGCTTTGTATATGATGGGTGACAGTAAAACTGCCCCTTTGGGGAAACAAGTTCTGCTTGATTTTTTTTTTAGAAAACGGTAACGCCAGGCCTTTTGTGCCCGGGGCAGGCTGGGCTCAGGGACATCGGTATAATTTGCAGTGTGTGGTTGATCGAATGCGTGCCTTGCAGAAGGATGTGAAAGTAAAATCAGGAGAGGGAAAATCGGTTGTTTGTACCCGTCATGGTGCCAGTTTGGCCGCTGCTGTAGGGGCTAAGGAGAGTGGCCGCGTTGTGGAATCCCAACCTACTGAACCCCACCAAAACCTCATTCTGTCCCTTCAGGGACAAGCGGCAGACTTAAAAGCAACAATTCGAAGGAGAAAGCCAGTTGAAACATCGGCAGACTGCTCTTAAATATCAGTTCCTTCCAGGTACTGCCCACGAGGAAATCCCTCCAAATAGCGGTTGGGGCGGGGGTAAGGCTATCCTTTTGATGATTTGCAGGCAGCAAAAGAGAGAATAGAAAAATTAGAACCACCCTCATTGCAACCTTTGGTCAAGACAGAGTATATTTAGGATGATGAGCAGGACCAGTCCCTCCAAATTACAACCAAGGAGGGCCCCTATACCACCAGCGAATTGGGAAAATTGAAAAAGGACTTTGGCTGAGGCCCTAGGGAATCAGAGACGGCATATGAGTGGGGTGTCTGTTATCCAGGGGGGTTCAGATTTTGTTGTGTGAAAAGGAGGCGGAGGGTTACGGGGGACTGGGAGTATTTTTAACTACTGGGAAATATCAAGCCCCTTGGTCTTTAACCCAACGGGCAGCTTATTGGGCGGGGGGGTTAAACCAATTGGAAAGGGAGGATCCCCTTGCAATTATAGGGACTGTTGATCAGTTGGTGGGAAGTGTGCAGAAGGCAGCTTGTTTGCAGATGATGTATGATCAAAGGTTGGAGCCTACATGGGAGTCCCCAGTGATGATGCCAACAGACCCTAAACGAATGACCTCCCCCTTATAAGGGGATCCTTTAAAGCTGATTGGTATACAAATACAAGGAAAAATACAGGTGATGCCCAGGTCAAAAGAGTTGTGGCTGCTTTAGGACTCATCCTGGATAGGAAAATGTGGACTTGGGGAGAAATGGCCCAGGAATTGATGAATTATGGGTGCAACTATGGTCCCATTAACCTTCGGGCCACTAAAAGAGACTCCAAGGGCTTGAGAGAGTGGAAGTAAAAATGGATCCATACCCTGAGGGCGATCAAAGAACAGCCCTCTCTGAACCACGCAGAGGGAGGGAGGGAAGGAAGGCCATTCCAATAGCCTGAGGACAAAGGGTTGGCAAAAGGGGATCCCAAGTGATTTAATGGATGGGTTGCCAACAGATGAGTTAGAAAAGGTGGTGATAGGATGGCCAGATAAACCGACCAATAAGGAGATGGGGTTTAAAGATGTCACCCCTGGTGCACCTCCTCTAATCGAATTATTGGAGGAAGATGTCCCTTGAAATCTTGCAAGACACTAGATCCTTCTCCCTCTGACAGTGAGGGGGGGGGCGGGGGCGGGCAAAGGCTGGGTATACATCAGACAGCTCAGTGAAAATGACTGGGGTGGTTTTGTTGTAGGGCCAAAATAAGTCTCGGTCATAATTTTTGGTAGGGGCTGAGGACCAGATTTCGACTATTAAAAGATACTAATGGAAAAGAACATAAGATCAGTATGAGGTGGATTGTTCTATTCTTCTAACAACAGTTTGCTTCCGGTTCCTTAAAACGAACCGAGTCTGCTTGCTTTTCTCTTTCAGGTGAAGACCCTGAAGCTTGCCTGGAAGAACATGTGAAGCTGTTGATTGCCTTTGTGGTTTTGTTGGTGATTGCACTTTGTTAATATTTATAGGATGTGTGGTATACCACAGCAGACATGTTTTGGTCAACCATTGTCGTTGCCTTTAGTATCTGGGGAAGCTTCTGCACTCCCCTTTTTGACTTGTCTTGGCAAAACGAATTTGTTGTTTTAGGCCAACAAGTAGCCAATACTTTTAATCTTACTAATTGTTGGGTATGTGGTGGACCCTTAGGTTTAGAAAGCTGGCCATGGACTGCTGTCCCTATTTCTCCTGAATGGCTGGTGAGCAATTACAGTGAGGTCGAAAACGATACTTATTGGGAGGAAAGTGTGCCATCACCCTGGCCAGTGCGATACCCAGCTCAGGGCAAATACTGTCTGAACCGGACACAGGAGGGTGGTATATTTGTGGGAAATAGTAGATGCGTGTGGACCTATACATATGGAAACCATTGCCTCACTGATGGCTGTAAGCCTATCAATTGCTCCCAACCCAGGAATGAGTCACCATTACCAGGGCCACAGGAATATTGTACATTGCTTGACTCCCACGATGAATCTTTTGTGCCTCGTTGGTTGGGCTGGGCCTGGGTAAATCAAACAGGGCACAGGAAACAGTTTTCCAATTTCTGGTCTTCCACTAATCAGACTAATAACCACCTCAATGTTGCCTGCTCTTGGCACCACGGTTTTGGCGCCTGGGAATGTAAATTTACTGATAAGACATATTCTCAACTCCCTGACGGGACCCAGATTTGGTGGTCATATGATAATAAAGACTGTCAGGGAAACTTGATCACATTGCCAGATGGGCTTCCCCTCTGTTGGGGCTCCACAGAGGAGGTCACAAAAACCGTAGATAGGCTGTTGATGAACGGCCCGTCAAACCATCCTCTAGGAGTCAACAATTCAACTTACTTCCAAATTCCATGGACACCCACCGGTTTGTTTGAAAATGGTACCCGAGCCTTAAAGGGTCACTACTGGGTGTGTGGCCAACATGCCTACAAACTGTTACCAGCAAATTGGACCGGAGTGTGTTATGTGGGGGTAATCCGCCCCTTGTTTTTCTTGCTCCCGGAGGATGAAGGTGACGGATTGGGTGTTAAGGTGTACAATGATCTTAATCGATATCGGCGGTCCATTGATACCTCTGTAGTGGGTGGAAATGGCCAATCTTGGGGCAAAGATGAGTGGACCCCTCAACGTATTATACAACATTATGGGCCTGCCACCTGGAACCTGAATGAGTGGGTTCGCAGTGCTCGAGAACCCATCTATAATTTAAATTGCATTATCCGGTTACAAGCTGCCTTAGAGATCATTACTAATGGGACAGCCCGTGCCCTTGATCTGTTGGCAGACCAAGCCACACAAATGCGAGCAGCGATATTCCAGCATCGTATGGTTCTCGATTACCTGCGAGCTGAAGAAGGGGGTGTTTGTGGTAAGCTAAATGACTCTAACTGTTGTTTAAGAATCGATGACAGTGGTAAAATTGTTAAGCAAATTACTGCAGGGATACGGAAGCTGGCCCATGTCCCTGTCCAGACAGGGAAAGGCTGGGATGTTGACATATTTTCCTGGCTCCCTGGTGGCCCATGGGTTAAGCGAGTTCTATTTTATTTGTTATGTGGTTTTGCAATGTTAACGTTTTTACCATGTATTCTCCTGTGTTTTACACAACTGATTCAACGTGTTGTAACTAACATGGAATTTGTACCTACTGTTTCACCTGAAGGTGTTAAACAAATCCGTGCTGTACACCGATCCATGCCATCAGCAGTACGAATTGTATGAAATGCTCTTTTCTGGCCTTTTCTAGACAACCGTCTTCTCTCAGAGCCACCGTGGGTCCTGAAACAATCTTTGAGCCACAGGGTGGTGTAAGAGACTGAACTGTGAACTATTTGACTCAAAGATTGCCTGCCTACAAGGACGGCTGCAAGGTCACGGAGGCATCCAGCTTATGAAAAACATCCTGCCGTGTCACACGATAGTCGCGTGTATGCACGTGCAGGATTGCGGAGACGTGCAGCCCTTGAAATAACGTACCACTTCATATATAATAATAACGCGAAATAACGCGTAGGCCCTGTGATAGACGAAGCCGAAAGCGCATGAACAGCATATGAGACGTAGGCGCATGTGCCGAACTGTGATCTGTGAAAAGACCGTGGAAGCGAGCCGCGGTGTGCACCCACCAATGAAGAACTGCAAACTGAGGACCCACGGGACGCCGTGGAGCCATGGTGGTGACTATTCTTGCAACTCTATCCCGACTGCTTGCTTGATTTCTGCCTTTTTGTTCCATTCTATCGCCTCTATTTTTCACTTTTGATAATAAAAGCTGTTTTGGGTTTACGGCATATGACCTCATTTGTGTCTTAATCTCGCTGTTAAGATCATATTGAAACCTCCCCCTGGACATGTCATTGAATCAGGACATTCTAGTAGCTTTTTTTCTTCCTTCAGAGCCAGATTTCCCACACCACTTGTTCAGGAAGCAAAACTGGAATGCAGTTTATACAGGGTCAGGAGCTGAGGTAGGCTGTGACCTGAAGCATGAGCCTCAGGGTTTTGCTTTCTTGTTTTCTGAAGTCTGGCAAATGGAGACCTTGTGATGTTGTTCCCCATGACCCATTATCTGGGTTTTTTGTAACCAGGTTCGATAGTGCATGCCCCTCTGATTCTCAAGTTAATTAAGCAGTAGCTACAATATCAAAACATATCTTTGCTTTACAAATTAACTCGGGGCTTGAGGCAGAGTTAAGCACCAGGCTTAACTTGAAGCTCAGCCTCGTTCCTGTCTTGAGAACAGGATACCCTGAACCAGCTGCTAATACTCAAGCACATGCTTTAAAAGAACAATGTGTTACAGATGCTGGCCTGGAGTTGTAACCGTCATTTGGCTTACTCCTGGTTTAGGCGATTAACGTAATTAAACTAGTAGTAAAATATTTTATCACAGATCCCATTAGTATTTAGTCGTGCCAGGGCGGCAGCCCTAGGCTCCGACTGCTCACGGCCCGCCGCGGGACTACAACTCCCGTCATGCCCTGTCGGGGGCGCATGCGCGCCGTGTCCCGCCAGCGGGCGTGCTCCCACCGTGCACCGCGGCAGGAAAACACCTGCCTGCGTCCGCGTGTTTTTTTGTTTTTTTTTTTTTTTTTTTTTTTTTTTTTTTTTTTTTTTTTTTTTTTTTTAAATTTCCGTTCACAGCGTCCCGCGGAGCTGAGAATAACTGGTGCCGGCCCAGGGATCGGGTGGGTAAGACAGTTGCTGCGCTCCCCTCGGAAGAAGGTCCTTGGCGGGAGGTCGCGTCACTTCCGCTCGCCATTTCGCGCAGCGCCTGCCCGCAGCCGCCATGACGGACCGCTACACCATCCACAGCCAGCTGGAGCACCTGCAGTCCAAGTACATCGGGACGGGCCACGCCGACACCACCAAGTGGGAGTGGCTGGTGAACCAGCACCGGGACTCCTACTGCTCCTACATGGGCCACTTCGACTTGCTCAACTACTTCGCCATCGCCGAGAACGAGAGCAAGGCGCGCGTCCGCTTCAACCTCATGGAGAAGATGCTGCAGCCCTGCGGGCCGCCCGCCGACAAGCCCGACGAGTCCTAGTTCTCCCCGGGTCCCCGCCGCCGCCCCGGGGCGGGGCGCCGTGGAGGCGGACTGGCCGGGGCGAGCGGCGGCGGCCCGGTTGGCTTCCGCCGGGGCTGCCCGCCGGCCGGTTGGGCCCCAGCTCGGCACGGCGAGAAGGGCCGGGGAGCTGCCCTGGGGAGCGCGGGTGGCGGCGGCCCTCGTTCCTCGTGGTCCGCCCGCTTTCCTGTGTTGCTCCTCCGAAGGACTCTGCCGGGGAGAAATTTTGTAAAATGCCGGTTTCTGGACAGTTTCGGTTCTCGTAACAGTACGATCGTTTGGATTTTTTAAAATGGAAGAAGAATAAAACATGCTGGGCATTTCTAATGCTTTGTTTGGCAATCTGCTCGTACGAGCTCTTTGTTCTTTAAGGAGTGCTGATTACTCGGTATTAAGCGTTTCGATGCAGCCATCCGAGGTGCATACTTTACAGATAACATTTTGCCAGCTGGGCTGATTGGTGCTTGCTTACCAAAACTGTTCTGAGGAGAGAGAGTAAGCATGTTGACATTCAAAGGGTTTGATTTGTTGTTAGCATTTATTGTGTGGGATGATTTGTGGTACAGTGTAAGGCTTTAAATACTGTTTTACTGCCTCGTATTCCTCTTTTTGTACCTTGTGTTTTCCAAAACCTTGATACTGTCTGATCCAACTTAGCTACTTAGTGTTTTTTTCACTAATGCTTTCCTGTCATCTAGTGTAGATTTTTTTTTTTTTTTTTACTACATTATCCTAAACGTGTACTAGTGTGGTGGTAGACACTTAATATGGAATAGGTTCATAGGTTCACTACTACTTTGAAGTAAAATGCCTTGAGGTGACACAGTCTTAGATGAGACTGCAAACTGAACTGAAGTTGGTTTTGATTTCTCACTTAAAATAGGCTTTCTAGTCACTTGTCATAATAAATTCTGAGTTATAATGACTGGGAAGACCTCAGAGTAAAGTTAAGATGCTTGGAGAAATGTGGTGCCCATGTTTCTGTCATGGAGCATTGTAAATGGGGGTGGGATTCTTTGTTTTGTTTTTTGCATTAGAGAGGAAAGTTCAGTGTTTTCTTGTCCTATTAGGACTGTGTGCAAGCTTACTGTTAAAGGAGACTCGAACTCCGTCGTGGGTTACTCTAGGATTTTATTCAGGTCCAGCAGCGTTGGGTCACCTCCGCAGAGAGTGACAGCTTACATGAGTTCGCATACATGTATTTATGCACCTACAAAGCATTACCTAATCCAGAATACACAGAATTATACTTTATCAGTCATTATTATCTTGACAGTGGGTTTCACATCTTGTTCTGGAGTCCGACCACTTCGTTGTTTGTTTCTTCTTTCTTTTAGTCTTCAAGGGAGATTACCTCAAGTTCTGTACGTCTCAGTTCTTAGTAGTCACAATGATAGATCTCCCATTGCTTCGGTAGCTAAGGGCCAGTTTCTCATACATCAACATCCTTTGAACTGTCAGGCCCACCATTACCTTTGTTACAACATTTTATTGATGCTCTATTCAGTTGACTGTGCTTGCAGCCCTGGGCTGGGGCTATACAGGGGACAGAGCTGATAGAACAGCTTGTGCAGCAGCACTGCATTGCAACATTTTCCCAACAGTCCCCCCTTTTCTTTTAGGATACTCACTATCCTATCGGATACAATAGGGTCTGGTGGGAATACGAGATAAACACGAGACACAACACTGACATACAAACATTACCATGATCAAAATGATTATGACTAAAACGACTACCATTAGAATCTTCTTGATTAAAGTTGGAAAATCAGGAATCCAAGAAGTAGCCCATTGCCATAAATCACTAACATCCCAGGATACATTGTCTCGTTGCACAACTTGCATCATATGGCTTACTTCCTATTTTGGCAACATCTTATTCTTTCGTTTAAATGTTTTTACCAACACTTCATCTCCCACTTTATAATCATGAACCTGTACTTCTGGTGTCACACCTTGGTACCAATATGCATATTTTCTAATTTTCTGAAAGGAATCTTGTAAATATAATAAATATTGAGTGACATTCTCATCTCCATCCAGTAGTGCAGTTTTTGCTGAAATATACGAACCAGGTACAGCTAAAATTCGTCCAAATAGGACCTCTGCTGGGCTAATTCCTAACGGCTGCTTTGGAGTAGTTCTAAGATCCCATAAAACTAAATTTAATGCCTCTGGCCACTTTAATCCAGTTTCACTGCATACTTTCGCTAACTTCTCCTTAATTGTTCTATTCATTCTTTCTACTTGCCCTGATGAAGGTGGGTGATACGGAGTATGAAACTGTCCTTTGATGTCTAGGGTTACATAAACTTGTAATAAAATAGATGCTGTAAAATGCGGTCCACGGTCAGAGTCTATCACCTCAGGTACGCCATATCGAGGAATGATTTCCTTAAGCAAGATTTTTACAACTATTTTTGAATCATTCTTCCGGGTCGGGAAAGCTTCTACCCACCCAGAGAGTTGATCTACTATTACCAGCAAATATTTATATCCGAGAGCGGCTGGCATTTCCGCAAAGTCAATCTGAAGTTTCTGAAAAGGACAGACTGCTGGCGGCCTCTTCCCTGGCGTTACTTTTGGCCTTATATCTCCATATCTCTTACACGAAGAACATCCTTCAGTCAGTTTCTTAGCTGCTGAAAAGATTCCTGGTGCTGCCCATAGCTGCGTTACCTTTGAGGCTACTGCTTCGGGACCTCCATGCCCCTTCTCATGGTACCAACGGGCAAGCGGCAGTACATACCTTCTGGGCAATAGAGGTTTACCATCCAGGGTCCAGGTCCCTTTATCTTGCACGGCTTGCGTCTTCTTCCATTCTTCCATTTCGGTGGTCGGGACATCGCGATAAAGGGTATCAGGGTTTGGGATAGAAAAGAAATTAGCAACCACAACTTCAGTCGTGGGGTAATTTTTAGTAGCGGCGGCTCGTGCTGCGGCATCTGCAAGAAAATTACCTGTCGCAAGCTGATCAGTGCGCTTCGTATGAGCAGGTATATAAATTACCGCAACTTCCTTTGGCTCTTGTATTGCCAACAACAAGTCATTAATCAAAGACCCATGTGCAATGGTTTTACCTGCAGATGTTAGAAAGCCTCTTTCTTTCCACAATGCACCGACTGCATGACAAATGCCATAGGCATACTTCGAGTCAGTGTAAATATTAACTCGTTTATTCTTAGCATACAATGCTGCTTTGGTTAGTGCTATCAATTCTGCAGCTTGAGCTCCTAATGTCGGTGGCAAGGGTTCAGCAATGAGAACAAACTTTTCAGTAGCTATTGCAAAGCCCGTAAATCTCTTACCGTGAAGATAAAAGGAAGATCCGTCAGTAAAGAGATTCAAATCAGGGTGTTCCACCGGAGTGTCCCTCAAATCTTCTCTAGTCTTGCTTATGGTTTTCAAGACAGCTACACAGTCGTGTGATCTTTCAGGTTCAGTCACTGGGAGTAAGGTAGCAGGGTTAAGAGTCTTTGATCTCTCAAGTTTGACATTCTCCGTTAGCAAAAGGATCATTTCATATCTGTGTGTCCTTTGTGCAGAGAGTGCTTTTTCTGCATATTTGGTTAGTAGAAGTTCAACCTCATGGGAAACAGCAACTATGAGATAATGGCCTAGCACAATATTCCTTGCCTTTTCCACCAGCTCAGCAGCTGCGGCAATAGATCGCAGACAGTATGGAGATCCTCTGATAACTGGGTCCAAGGTAACAGAATAGTATGCTACAGGACGTTCGTAGGGTCCATGCTTCTGAATTAATACTCCCTTTGCAATTCCTCTGTTCTCTGTTACATATAATTTAAAAGGTTTTTTGTAATCTGGTAACCCAAGAGCTGGAGCATTTACCAAGGCAGTCTTCATGGACATAAAAGCTGTTTCCAATTCTTTCGTCCATGGTATGGGTTCTGGGCTCACATCTTTAGTAGTCTCTACCAAAGGTTTTGCAATCTCTGAAAAACCCAGTATCCACGGTCTACAATATCCAGCTTGTCCAAGAAAGGCTCTCATTTGTTTCTTAGTCAAAGGTCTAGCGATTTCCTGAATTGCCTGTACCCTATCTGGATCTAATTTCCTAGTACCTTCGGCTAGTATAAACCCTAAATATTTTACCTCAGGCTCACAAAACTGCAATTTGGAGAGAGATGCTTTATGTCCTTTCTCATATAATCTAAGACATACATATTTAGTATCTTTTACACAACTGTCATAATCTTTACTTGCAATTAACAAATCATCCACATATTGTATCAATTCTGACCCAGCCGGTAGTTCCAGATCTTGTAAGTCTCTCTTTAATATTTGAGAGAACAAAGTTGGTGAAGCAGTAAATCCTTGAGGAAGTCTGGTCCAGGTATACTGGCGACCTTCCCATGTAAAGGCAAATAAACTCTGGCTGTCAGGGTCAATTGGTATTGTAAAGAAAGCTCCGGTCAAATCCAAAACAGTATAGTATTTCGCCCAAATTGGTATTTTTGTAAGGATAGTAGAAGGATCGGGAACTACTGGATGTGGGGGTTCTACATATTCATTTACAGCTCGTAAATCCTGAACAAACCGATACTCAGGATTTCCATCCTCATCCTTTCGATTTTTATTTACAGGTAAAATGGGAGTATTAAAAGGACTAACAGTAGGTCTTAAAATGCCCTTATCCAAAAAATTCTGTATTTGTTTAGTGATACTAGGAATAGCTTCTGCTACGATAGGATACTGCTTAACTGCTGGGGGTATACCACCTTTAGTCTTAATTTTTACGGGGGCTGCAGATTTCAGAAGTCCCACATCTTTACTAGATTGACTTCAAGCAGAGAAGAGCAAACTGGAGATGAACCTGCAGGAGAGTGTTGATAAGGCATATTTTCACAGCAGTGGAGACAAGGGGATCGGGTGGTATCCATTGAGCAGCAGTCCTTGTGCAGATGATTCTCGAAACTGAGAAGGAATTGAAGTGTCAACAAGAACTTCTGAGCAATGAGAAGATCAAGGCTGAAGAAAGGGAAGAACTTTTGTTAAAGGTTCAGAGGCGGTCAGAGATTCTGGAGGACAGCCTAACAAACAAGATCCCTCAGATTCAAGAAGAATCTACTGAGCAAGAAATATTTCTTCTGAGAGAAGAGCTGAGCCAGGCAAAAAGGAAATGGCATGAAATGGAGGAAGTAAAGGCCAATGAATGTCAAAGAGAATCTGAAAAACTGGAGAGAAGCAATTTTATTCCAAAATTGCCTGAATGTTAGGAAGCAAGCACTCTGACAGAAAGTGGAGATGGTAATCTTACAATACAACTAGAGAATCTCCAAAATGAGAGAGAGCAGTTAAGAGAAACCATACAGGAGACAATTAGCAAGAATTCAGAGATGCAGGAGGAGTTGAAATGTGCTCATTGCTCTCTCAGACAACATCAGGAGACTAATGTGGAGCTGAAAGAAAGTATTTCAGAGAAATAATATCAACTCTTAGAAGCGTAAGAGGCATTGAAGGAAACAACTGACGAACTGCAGCAGGAGGTCACTGAAGTCACTGAAAACCTGATTCATGTCTCTTCTGAATATGACAAGCTACTGTCAGAAAAAGAAGAAAAAAAAAAAAAAAAAACTTAGCGCATTTTTCAGCATTGTCCCTTAACCTCGGCATTTTTTCTTGCCACAACATTAAATCACCAGGTTTCCAGGGTTGGTGTGTGGAAACTGCAATAACTGGAGGAACTTCAGGTCCTGAGTTGGGGCCTACTCTAGGATTGGAATGAAATTCCACTACCATAGGATATTGTCCTACAACAGATTTCCCTTCTGATTGTGGATGGGAACTCTGGTTCTGATTCTTTCCCTGATGATCATCAAGGAAGGCAATTAATTCTTCTCTTTTCATAGGTTTCTTTAGAGCCATACGATTTCTCAAATCGGCCCATTCCAGCCATAAAAATAAATAATTCATCTGCTGCGGATTTCTATCTTCTAATATCAATCTCAAACATTTCAACCTAGTTTCATCGAAGGTACCTTCAGGTGGCCATACTTCTTGGGGACCTGCCCCTCTAATTCTGGTTAAAAATGGCCAGTCATCTTGACATAACACTATAATTTTACTTTTACTCAACCCTGCTGTCCCAGAAAGTTTATTCCAATTTGCTAATAATTCTGCCAAGGGGGATCCTTTAGGTACTGAAGGATATCCTCCCATTCTGCAATTTTCTTTGTGAGGGGTATTTCAGAGTGATCCTTTCCTATTCCAACCCACAAACACAGACAAGGGGAGACTTGAACTCACCTTTCTGTAGCCGGCAGTTTGTAGGATGTAATATCGGGATCCTCTTTTATTCGTCCTCCCCGTCACAGCCTAGAGTCCCATCTGGGGTGCCAAAACTGTTAAAGGAGACTCGAACTCCGTCGTGGGTTACTCTAGGATTTTATTCAGGTCCAGCAGCGTTGGGTCACCTCCGCAGAGAGTGACAGCTTACATGAGTTCGCATACATGTATTTATGCACCTACAAAGCATTACCTAATCCAGAATACACAGAATTATACTTTATCAGTCATTATTATCTTGACAGTGGGTTTCACATCTTGTTCTGGAGTCCGACCACTTCGTTGTTTGTTTCTTCTTTCTTTTAGTCTTCAAGGGAGATTACCTCAAGTTCTGTACGTCTCAGTTCTTAGTAGTCACAATGATAGATCTCCCATTGCTTCGGTAGCTAAGGGCCAGTTTCTCATACATCAACATCCTTTGAACTGTCAGGCCCACCATTACCTTTGTTACAACATTTTATTGATGCTCTATTCAGTTGACTGTGCTTGCAGCCCTGGGCTGGGGCTATACAGGGGACAGAGCTGATAGAACAGCTTGTGCAGCAGCACTGCATTGCAACATTTTCCCAACACTTACCAATGACTGTTTTCTTTAATTGGTGATCTCAATACTTTTGAGCGATACAATTCTCACACTCTTTATTGAGTCTTATAAATCCACCACTATTCATAATACTGTAATAAAATAAGTAAAAGTGTACAAGCTCCTCAGGCCACGTTCAAGTCAGTACATCCATTTTCTGAAGAAATCGAAGCACTTTTCCAATTTTGTTGCACATGTGAAGATGAGGGCACCGGTGAAGTAGTCCTAAATAAATTTTACCTCTAAGTTTCATGGGGAACTACTGCATTTTCCACTAAATGAGGGAGACTTGAAGAAAGCTCCTGGTTTTAAGTTTTCATTCAAGCTGGTGCAGGCAATGTATACTGAAGAATGTAGCTGAAATATTTTCCTTAGCTTAAGTTCAGGCTAGTTACTAGTAGGCATGCGGTGCAGTCTTGCAAAAATTGACCAAAATTTCAATCTACATCAAGTTTCCCGTTGCTCTTACTAAAAGTTTGTCCTATGACCAAATCTTAGAAACTTGCCTTTTCCCTACATCAGTAGGCACCGTGCTTAGTGGAAAAGGGTGGTCTGGGAGAGTCCCATGGGGAAAGCTGTTCTTCCTGTTTCTCTTGCCTTACATACACCTTTGCTACTCTGTTCAGAGAGAAGAAAGAACAAAAGCATCAATTACTTTTGTCTGCCCCATGAGTGGTCCCATAAGGTCTTTTGTGCAACCCACCGACATCCCCCCCCCTCCCCCGTGCTTAATTCACTGATGGCTAAAGAGCCTGAGCCTCAGGGCTGGGACTTGGGAACTGGAAGAACTGGAGTGAAGATACAGATGCTTTTGTAATGGGTTGGAAAAGGAACTTGCAATGTTTTGTGAGGACAAGTCTTGAATATGTTACATGGAAGGAAAAACAAACTATGCAACTTAATGTGCTTCTGCATAAATTACATCTTAAAAAACCATTTCAAGCATGATTTCTTTGGAGTATAAACTGCTAACAATTAGCTCTATCCATGGATATTACCAGTATTCATTCAATACATTTTAAAATGTGAGCAACAAATAGATGACAAGTAAAGATTAATGACCCCTTGCAGGCCAGCTCTTCGTTACAAAGGCCAAACAGCCTTCAGGGACAGGTCAGTTAGGTGATGAGTGCACTTCTAATTAAAAAGTCTAATAGATACTATATATAGTATTTAATGACTGTTAAACTAAAAATGGAATGCTGAAACAATGTTATGTAAGATTTATGAATACAGTGAGAACTTTGAGGAGAGGAAGTGGAAGGAGAAAGGTTTGCTTCTGGTGCCTTAATTACACATGATTCAAGAGAATAAGAACCAAGCTTGACTCTCACAGAAAAAGCATAAAGCTTCATGCCGATATGGTTTATTGCACTTATAAATGGGTTATACTTAATGCAGAAAATACTACCATAGAAGTGCATTACCTCTGTCATTTTTAATTATGTTTTTTACCATTCTCATGGTAATATGGGTGATGGATAAGGGAAGAGCAACTGATGTAATCTACCTGGACCTGTGCAAAGCATTTGACACTGTCCTGCATGACATCTTTGTCTCTGAATTGGAGAGACATGGATTTGATGGATGGACCACTTGGTGCATAAGGAATTGGCTGGATGGTCACACTCTAAAGAGTTGCGGTCAGTGGCTCGATGTCTGAGTGGAGAGCAGTGATGGGTGATGTTCCTCAGGGGTCGGTGTTGGGACCAGCACTGTTTAACATCTTTGCTGGCAACATGGACAGTGGGATTGAGTGCCCCCTCGGCAAGTTCAGTGAGGACACCGAGCTGTGTGGTGCAGCTGACATGCTGGAGGGAAGGGATGGCACCCAGAGGGACCTGGGCGGGCTTGAGAGGTGGGCCTGTGCAAAACTCATGGAGTTCAAGAAGGCCAAGTGCAAGGTCCTGCACAGGGGTCGGGACAATCCCAAGCACAAATACAGGCTGGGCAATGGGTGGACTGAGAGCAGCCCTGAGGAGAAGGACCTGGGAGTATTAGCAGATGGAAAACTGACTATGAGCCAGCAATGTGCTCTCACAGCCCAGAAAGCCAACCGTGTCCTGGGCTGCATTAAGGGAAGTGTGGCCAGCAGGTCGAGGGAGGGGGTTCTCCCCCTCCACTCTTGTGAGACCCGACCTGCAGCGCTGTGTCCAGTTTGGGACCCTGGAGGAGGCCACGAAGCTGATAAGGGGGCTGGAGCACCTCCCCTGTGAGGACAGGCTGAGAGGGTTGGGGGTGTTCAGCCTGGAGAAGAGAAGGCTCCGGGGAGACCTTATAGCAGCCTTCCAGTGCTTAAAAGGGGGGACAGGAAAGGTGGGGAGGGACTCTGTTGGGGGGTGTGGTGATAGGATGAGGGTTAGTGGTTTTAAACTGAAAGAGGGAAGATTTAAATTAGATGTAAGGAAGAAATTCTTCCCTGTGAGGGAGGTGAGGCACTGGCCCAGGGTGCCCAGAGCAGCTGTGGCTGCCCCCTCCCTGGAAGGGTTCCAGGCCAGGCTGGATGGGGCTGGGAGCCCCCTGGGCTGGGGGAAGGGGTCCCTGCCCATGGCAGGGGGGATGGAACTAGGTGATCTTTAAGGTCCCTTCCAACCCAAACCATCCTATGATTCCATTCTATGATTCTGTGAGTCTTTTACACCAGCTAGCATAAGTGTGAGGTTATTAATTATTTTATAAATTAAGAAATCTTGGCAGTTTACTCAATTTCTCTATTCCAGTTACTTTTCATTATAAGTGATTTTTTTTTTTCTACACCAGAGGGCAGCAAATGATGCTACTCTTCAACTGAAGGCACAGATAACTAATAGAGTTGCATGCTATCTTTCAAAGTTCCTTTGAAAAAAAAGATGGATACTTAAAATATTGCTAAAACTTTCCAATAGGCAGAAATGCTTAGCTTATTCCAATGGAATAGTTCTAAGGTTCAGAACATATACCTTTTATTCACCATGGGTGAATGGAGCAGTTTGGGAGCCCTAGCATAATACCATAACTCTACAGTTCTGAATATCTTTCATTTTTTTTCCCTGGTTTATCAGAATGATGGCAGTACATTAGTTAACATTTCACAGTGAAATAGTTGAAGTACTGAGTTATTTTCTGCAAACTGTAAGACTTGGACCACTTTCACTTCAGTCATTTTCAGCATAGAACTCCATTGTTTTTAGGATCATTTGCATATATTAAACACTGATGGATGATGACATTCTTAGTCTGTTTTAGCATCAGGATTTTACTTCAGCACATCAGATAATTCCTTTTTAAAGCTGAGCCATTTTAAGCATCACAGGTTTCCAAATCCTTGTCAGAGCTTTGTTGGTTATGTGCTGTTGCACCACTAATTCCATAGATTTTCTAAAGCAAAATGAAAAAAAAAAAAAAAAAAAGCCAGAAGACCTATTTGTTTTCATAGTATATAAAGGAGACTTAAATGTGCATTTACAACTTTTTTAGCCGTTTCTAGGTCATTAAAAGTTAACCATGCAATATTTTGTTTTAGTACTATTATTATAATACATTCATAAATCTGTGCTCTTGTGTCTTACTAAAAATGCATGCTTTCCACGACCCTGAGGCTATCTTTATTGCCCAAAAGAACTTAAGTGCATTTAAAACAGATTACACCATGTTACGTTTCAGTAAGTTTGACATTCTTGTTTGAAAATTCCATTAATGTTCCCTTATTCTTTGTCTATTTGCCATTCTTCTTCTATATTCTTTTTTGTTAGTTTTAATCAGACTTGATTTGAAAAAGCCCTATGAATATAATACAGTGCAGTATTCTACAGAATGCCCCCTCCCTGGAAGCATTCAAGGTCAGTTGGACAGAGCCCTGAGCAACCTGATCTCGTTGAAGATGTCCCTGCTCATTGCAGGGGGGTTGGACTAGGTGATCTTTAAAGGTCCCTTCCAAAACTATTCTATGATTCTAATGTGAGTGGGGAAAAATCTGATCTATCAAAGTGTTGTAGTCAGTACCTTTCAAGCTGAGCAAACTAAAAAGTACTTTGTTTTGCTCTAGAAAGAATCAAAGCAGTTGCTAAGGTCATGGAGGTGCTCTGACTAGATTGATCTCTCTCATGTCTTTCCAGTGCAGGGCATGTGACAGTATTACTTTTTAACTGGTAAAGTCCCTAGACTTTCATGCACTGTGTTGAAGGACAAGCTGTCCTTTATTTGTCCTTCATCTGTATCACTGCCAAGAGAGCATTGCATGTAAAAGATTCAGGCCTTCAGCTGTTACTTCTCTGATCTCCATTTTGAAGAGCAACCATAGCATGAAAATCATAAAACAAGTTAAAAAAAGATCAAGGATGTAAGTATATGTAGCACCCGTTTCTCCTTGCCTTTTGATTTTGCAAAATTAGTCTTCACATTAGTAAGTGTCTGAAAGCTCTTTATTCAATCTATGGAGTAGCAAACCCTCGGAGAACTAGGGGGAACCATGTTTCTTTAGTATTCCTTTCGTCTTTCTGCTACGTCTGTAAAGCAACATTCTGATGAAAACCGAACTAAGCATTTTTCTGCTATCTTATCATGATTGCATGATTTCCTGACACACTTGTGATTGCAGATAAGGCTGATGGTTAGCCCTGGGCTGAGCTGAGGCTGGGACATGCTTTTCTGAACTTTGCAGCATTCATATTCTGTGTCCTATTTGGTATAAATAAATATTGAAAAAACAAATGTACGATGATGATGAATGGGGAACAGTAAATGCTTGTGTTTTCTGTTTACTGCTGACAGGGTACTACCAGTATTAATCACTTCCCACTTGGACACCTTGAGTGACACGCATGCAGATTCAGTACTTCATATATTAAAAGGCTGAGGATGCCTTTGGCATTATTAGACCACTGTGAGTGCTGGTTTAAGAGATTATCGTAACAAGAACAGTTAAGGTCACTGCTTCCCCCTACAACTGCTCGACAGTGCCTTTGGGACACCTTTCAAAGCATGGCGCTGGGCTCTGCGAGGCATCCCTGGGTCAGACTTCACTGGGCAGGGTCTCCATGGGCTGTCCTGAGGGTGTGACAGACTCATCCACGGGATGGGAAAGTGGCTTGTGCCCACACCAGAGCTTTGGCTCTTTGCTAAGGAGCTGCCACAGGCCTTCATACAAGTGTTGTTTAAAGAGCTATATGCTGCTTTTCATTGCTTGTTACAATGTTTTCCTTCTAAGACATCAGTTCTGAGGCAGCTATTTGCAGACAAATCTGTGAGCAATTTAACTTGTTGCACTGCAGAGCTAACTGCAGCTGTCCTGGGATGACCCTGGGAAGCTAGAGTGAGCGAGTGCTTTGGCAGACAGCTCCCCCAACACTCTGCTTTGTGATTTTATTCCCAGTATTTTGACTGCTTGTTTATGATGAGGCTTTAAGGGAAGGAGATGATCCATATGCTCATCAAGCAAGCCACAGAAAAGCAGCTAGGCCTGTGGGATCTCAACAGCAGTGTAGAATGACTGTCTTGATGGAAAGCCAAGACTTGGGGCAGTGCAGGACCACAGACTGGCCCTATAAGGCTTTGCACACTTGCAGGCTAGGGCTTACCAACCTGAGCAGGGCACTTGGATATTCAGTCTATTAGTCATTCAGACCTGGATCTTATCCAGCTTTTGCCATCTTAGCTGGAGCTTCCCATTGAATCACAGAGAGAGCTTCAAGTGCTCGGCATCTCTCTGGATCAGGCCTTTAGTTGACTTCTTGTCTCCTGATGAAATCTTGTACCCTGCTAGGTGCTTTGCAAGCAAGCAAGGGAGAAGCCTCCAAAGGGCCTGCAATCTATTCAGAAGAAATATAAATGTGGGACCCAGTGAAAAAGGGTCCCCTAGGAAAGCTGATAGAATAAGGGCCAGGGATGTCTCTTTCCAGCTGCATGAACTTAATACCAAAATCTTGTGGCTGAGAGCTCCAGAACTTGGGCCTCATCCTGCCAAGGGTATCACTCCAAGCTGCTGTTTCATTCTCAGATATGAAGCATGGTGCAGATGAGACAATGAAAAGCCAGACTTAAAACTCTGAAAGCGAGTTGAAGCATTGCTCCCCAACACATGCACCCCACCAGTGAGACTGCCAGCACTAACAGAGAAAAAGTGGGCTGGAATCAGCAATGTATGAGGACTGTGTAAAGGGACTACCTTTTGGACATGATGTATCTTTATGAGGAAATGAGGAGGAGATGGGCAGTAGGGTTGAAGGATTACAGTGCTTAATAATTCTTAGAGGAAGAGATTCCATCCCTCATGCTGCCCTTATGGCAGTTAGCTATAAGCCTTTTGCTGGAAGCTTCTCTCCCCCACACACTTCTCCAAGGAAACTACCAGAAAAACTAATGCCATGAACGAGGAACAGAGCATTTTTCTTGGGAAAGCTGAGCAGAGAACTTCAGGCCTTGTCTACACAAATTAAATAAGGCAGGGTGTGAATGCAAAGTAAAATGCCTGTTCCTGGCCGTCTCTCTGTGGGAATGCTCTTTTCCTGCAATAAAGATATCTTCAACTGAAGATAAGGACTCAGGAACAAGTTACTTGTGGTAAATTAACTGTAAGGACACATCAGCTGCTCTGTAGCTAGTGCCCATTGCACATCCTTACTTTAATGCCAATTAAAGTCTTCTGCCTTTAATGTCAGTTAAAGGTCTTCTGCCTTTTTCTTTGGAGACACTTTCCTTGCATCACTGGGCCACTGCAGGAAAAAAAAAAAAAAAACAAAACCAAACCAAAACAAAAAACAGAAAACCAAAACAAGACAGAAGAAACTCCCTTAGGCAGCTGCCACAAAGTAATTAACTACAGTGTGCTGCAAATTCAAACCCTGATTTCCCTTGCCATAACTCACATGTCTGTGGTATGAGCCACGTAGGAAACCACCCGCAGTAGTAAGTCTCTCCTGCTGAAGGGTAAGAGTGCTTCAGTAGACCAGGGAGCAAAGGGTTGCAGAGAATTTACCAGAGCCCTGTAGATGGGTCCCAAAGACATAGCGGGTGGTAGCTAAGACAGCCGGGCAATCCTTGCTTACAGGCATCTCCCATTTCTCCCCAGTGGGCAGGTGAGACGGTTTAAGGGAACCAGGGTTACACATCCACAAAATAATACTTCCCTTCATGTATGTCACAGCTTCACCTGGTTATTTTTGGGGGTGTTTGGTGGGTCATATAAAGAGTTTTTATTAGGAAAGCAGTAGCCTTCAGTCACAACCAGAATGTGCTGATTTTGTTGTTTGTCAGGCAAGGTGGACCTGTGGGTTGCTTTTGTCTCTACAGGATGGGGCAGGGGTGCCACGGGGCGTTTCCGAGGGCACACACACCTCTGCTGCACCCACATGTCCTGCTAGCCTTTTGCTTACCCCGCCGAGCTGCAGGCACTCACCTGAGGCACCTGAAAGCCAGTGGTCTGTAAAACCCTGAAAATCTTTCTAGTCATCAGGAAGGGACTCTCACCTCAGAGGGCAGCTACAGCCTTTGGTGACTTGTTCCTTTCCCTGCCTGTCGAGCCCTGTCTGACTTGCATCTCACTGAGCTGCTACGGGGTGCACAGGGTGAAATGAAGGAGTAACTGGGTTTTCTCCAGTTCTGTGCTTGGTTTGGAGACTATCCTCATGTAATTCTGCAACTCTTTGCAGGTTTGGTTTTTGGTTTTTTTTTTTTTTACCTGCCAGGGTTTCATCAGAGATAGTTGTGTCCTGTCCGTGTTAGTGCACAGGGGGCTTAAGGAAAAGGGACTGCTGCTACTGCAGTAAATGAGACAGCATAGCAGCTGAATTCCCAGGGAGCAGAGCCAAAGTGCCACTATTTTCACCCAGACTGGAGAACTAATGAATTCCAGGTCCATTTGTAACCTCCTTCATGTATCACTTTTAATCACTATACCCCTGATGTCAGCGGGTCTTTGAGCAAAAGGTCAGTGCTTGACTGTTGGACTTGGTGTAGTCTCCGTGCAGATCACTGCCTCCCCCTTACTCAGTCTTCTGTCTGTCCTTTCCATCCCATTTTCCCCCCATAAGCAGCTGGTTATACTGTGACACACCACCCACAGCAATAGCACTATTTTGCTGCTGCTTCACATTCTAGCCATGCAACAATTCTTCCTGTTGCTGATGCCTCAGTTTCCTTCTTTTAATGATGTTTGAAGAGAAAAAAACAATCTTGCTTTGTCAAAGCCCATTAGCCTATGAATAATTCCTCTATTTTGGGCTGTCAGTGAACAACTGGCTTGTGTCAGCTGCTCAGAGGAATAATTTGGGGAAGACTGAAGCTCCAGATTAATTCTCTATATACACATTTTGAGATACACATGCATGAGAATCACAGACCCGGGCTGGAGACCTTCCAGAACTGAATTCTCCCCTACAGTCGCTGTGGCTAAACAGTGAAATGCCATCCATGGAGTTTTTAAAAGAAGTCTAGACAAGGAGCAGTAACTCTGAGCAGCTTTTCAGTGGTGCCAGGGTCCAGGTGGTGGTAAACTTACACCCCCTCTGCAAAGTCAGGCTCTGGTGTGGTGCACTGTGGCCAGTAGTCACCAGCTGATGTGCTGCTTCCCGCGGGGACCTGCCTCTCTCGCCTCACCGGTGAGGAGTGTGGCTGCAAGGGGATGAAGGCCAGGAGCTTTCCCAGCCATGAATGCCCACGCCAGGATGCAAAGGCTGGCTTCTTTTGGGGGACTTAACTGGATGAACAGTGTACACCTCTAACCACTTTTTGTGCTTGTGGTGCCCCTGGAGATCATCCCAAATCCAGCAGTCAAGCCCCTGGAAACGCAGTTCGTACTCAATACCAGGCTTGGTATCTACAGCATCATGCAGCATCTGCTTGCGTGTAAGCGGGACCTGTGGGGCTGTGTAATTTCCTGGATTGCAGGAGCATGCTTCAGCTCCCCACAGCACCCTGACTTGCTTGCCCACATCTTCCAGCTTCTCCAACATGGGAAGTGCAGTTTTACGGGATCACCTCCTTCCCCACGCACGGCTGGTAGGAGGGGTGCAGCATGGAAAGCTGGCCTGTTTCTGGGAATCAGTGCAAAGGTATCAGTGCGGAAATGACTGAAGCTGATTAACTGGAAGGAAATTCTTTTACCTCAGCATGGATTTTCTGGGGCAGGGAGAGGGAGCACTAAGGGAAGGAGAGGATCGATGAACACAAGGCCCTTTTTAGCCCTGGGCACCAGGCAGTGCAGACACCAGTCCGTACGGTGTAATGGGGACAGGTTGCATGGTCCAGCCCCAGTGTCCCATGGGGTAGCTGGATCCAGCTCTTCTCCTACCTTCCAAAAAACACATCCAATTTGCTCTTTAAAACTGTCTAGGTTTTATTAGTTTCCCTCTCGTGGCATAGGAACAAAGAGCCTCAGGGCTTTTAGGAGCAGCCGTGGTAAAAAAATCTCATGATGAGCTGACACTCCATGTGTACATACATGTGTATTACACACAGACTGGACCAGCAGTTGGATAATGTATTTTTAAGTGCTAGTCCTTCCAAGTATCATCTTGGCACACTCCAGATATCCATCTTTCACTTTCAAACCAAATGAAAACTGATTCACCTAGAAAATCTATCTTCTAGACACTATGAAGTTGTAGCTTATGAAAACACTTCCCAAGGATGCTGTTTTGTTTATCATTTCACATTGTGGAGATGTGCTGTGGATGTGAAGACCCTACAAAGAAGCCCTTTACCTTCTCGTAAGAACATTGCAACCACTTGTCAGATGTGCCAGAAACAAGTACATGCCAGAAACAAAAAGGACAGGAGTCTGCACCACAGACAAGAGAAGAGCTGGAGCACTCTGAAGCAGCAGCAGCTCTTGTCCTATTTTTACCCTGCTTTTCAAACTATTTGATTTAACATCAAGAGATTGTTCTACCTACTAGGAAGGCTACTCACCATTGTGATTTCTCCTTTGTTGCCATGTGTGCCCGAAGGAGGACCCTGTGATTTATAGCAAGATTAAGTTATTTGGGTAGTTGGTTAGATGGGCTTTGAGTTATTGGTTTAGCAATGTTATCTCTGTGTTTTTCTTCAGTCACACAGTCACTGCTTCATACAACCCAGTTGATCAGGAACTCATTTACCAGTGGGGCAGGATTTAATGCACAGAGGTGTGATGAGCTGGGCTGCCACCAATTGCAGTGGCATTACTCAGTGAGTTCTGAAACCATGGCAGCTAGAAGCCCCCGTCCCCACTGCAGGAGC